ATCCAATTTCTTAGTTGCAAAAGTGTGTACATTTTTTTTGCCACAATAATCGCTTTTCTTGTTTGATGAAGCATAAGAAATTGGAATAAAACAAATAGTAATTAAATGGTTTTTTTCTCTTTTCTCAACATTGCAATAACTGCGCCTGTAAAACTGACTGCAGAACAAGTGAAATCGATTTGTAACACATGAAAGAAAATACACTTCATCCGTTTCTTATAATTTGTGTGCGTCGTTCTGCTGCCACCTAGTGAAGCTATTACAGAAGAAAGGCTTAGCGATTGCATTGTTAAAAGCAGTGTGAATACATTGTATAAGAAAATTTATCTCATCCGATGACTAATGAAATTAGTTAACAGCAACACAGGTTTAATGTTCGTGATCGTGATAACCGTAAGTCACAACGGTCACGTCGAGTGCTCTTTATGACACATACGCTTAAGAGAATGATGTTGTATTAATAAGTGCATTTGTTCTATACAGATTCGTAGTCACGTAGCATCATTTTATCGGAATTCTTTTACGTTAGCAGAATACTCATTATGATTAGAAGCGAAGATCTATCTAAATAGTGCCTTTTATATTGGAAGAATTCATTAATAGTACGTTTTGAAGCGTATTTTTCACGTAGCTTTTTTTTCTACTTTATGTAACAGTCTTCTAAACAATGTCAAGTCAGATAAAATGTTTCGAAAAACTAAGCGATAAATACCTTGAGATTTGTGTTCCATTATGAGTCACTTCTACAATAGTCATGTGTTGATAGCTATATGACTTTCAATAAGATATTTCGAATGGCCGATAGTCATTCATGGCTTTTCTCGTGCATTGTACTAAGGTTTAAAATTTCAAAGTTACTCGACATTACTGAAAGGGTGTGGGTGTGAGTGAGTATGGATGTGTGGGTGTGTACGTGTGAGTGTGGGTGATAAAAGAAGAATACGTCCACACCCACACCCACATCCACCCACACCATATCATTCTGCTTAAAATACTGTAAAAACGCAACATATCTGCAACAGTAAGGGTGTGGGTGTAGGTGTGGGTGTGAGTGTGGGTGTGAGTGTGGGTGTGGTTGTGAGGTGTGGGTAAGGACACTGAGTGCCCACACCCCACCCACACTCCACGCCCACACCCACACCCACCCACACCCACACCCATTTTTGTTAGATAGTGTTTCAGAAAAGATTTTAAATTAACTTTTTCTTTTTTTCATTAAGGTTTTATACTTCTTTATTTTTCATCGAAGGATATGGTTACTAGTCATGAACATATGTTATTAATAACTGTTGGTTTTGTTTAGATTGCTCTTATTAGATGCATTGGTTTTTTTTTCTTTAGTCCACTCTTATTTGATATATTTTAAAACGAAGATATTCTCATCATGATAATGAAATCACTAATGAAGATGATGATAATAATAACAATCGCATTCAATTTTCACAACGAAAAGAACAGTATTACAACGGAACCTATATCTAATTTATACCAATGTCTGCTTTGTCATTCTACTGAAATCTACTACTACACCTCTTAGCTCTTCTACAGATCATGACAGACGTTGTTGATATACGATCAAGGACCGTATATCAATAACATCTGGTTATAATATATGAACTACTTTCTTATTGCATTTCTAGAAGATAAAGTAAAAGTAAAAGTTGTTTCGATCTGGTTTTTTTAAAGATTTTCAATTATCAGGTGTGCATCCGAACCGCCAATGAAAAATCTATAAAAATATGCAAGTCTCAGATTTTTAGATTTAGTTATTCAGTAGTCATAAGTTTTCTAGTCAAAATTCTCAGTCGATTTTTTCAAACTATTGCTGTGAAAAAAGTCATATCTTGGTGACACCTTTTTTTATAAACTTGATTAAAAATACTTCAGAAAACATCTTCGGAGAATCTATCAAAATTTATTCAAAATACACTCATCTACCTTTTTCTGTTGAGATGAACATTCGATAGTATTTCACATTTTATTTCAGCAAGAATTGCACCACTATACATTTTTGATTTGCTTGTGTTCAAATTGATACTATAATAATTTTAAGTACCTTTTTTGTGTACTCAAAAAGTGAGTACACTCTAGAATCGGTCAGTGTGTCCGTCCGGCCGTCCGTATACACGATAACTTTCGAAAGGAGAGCCCGATCACGATGAAATTTTCTACATAGTTCAGCCTTTAGAGTGTCTCGATCGAGTTCGAAGACGAGAAGGATCGGCCGCGCCCTTCCTGAGTTATTGCAAAAATACCGATGTTCCCCTATGCCTTCCTATGGGAAAATCGACCCATCGCCACTTTCGTGAAAGACTTTTCCTATCATAGTCAATTAAAACCCCAACTATTATATACCATTCGATAGAGAATTTCAAGAGCTACAAAACGATATATAAAACATTAAGAAACAAGAAAACTAACTCATCTATTGGTAAGATAAATAAGCGGGAATCGGTTCGGTTTTTGTGCACGCTCCGTTCGATCCCCAATAGGAACTCTATCTTCCTATCATAGAGGTGATAATCGAAGGTTTTCTAGTATGGAGAACTCGAATCTCTATTCCACTTGCCTCGAAGGCCCATTGGTTGAGCATTGACTAATAGAAATCAAGTTATAGGGAAAACGATTTTCTGAGGCTAAGGTAAGCTGAAGAGTTGAAATCTGAGATGTATACGCTCCCAAATCCTGTTGTTTGAGCACTAGCCAATGGAATTCAACGGTTTATAGAAAAAGATTTGCAGGCAAATTTTTATATTCAGACATTCTAAGATGACCGATTTGTCTCATTTACTTTTTGAAGTACACATACTCTCGGATATAAATCCGAGATTTCCGCATTTTTTTTGTTGTTGCAATCAAATGTTTTGCACTTATTAATAAAATATTTTAGATACAAAAGAAAAACAAATGTTTTTAAGGCTATATCAGTATATGGAAATAAAAAAAAACGTGTATATGATTTATTTCAATGAAATAATAATTTTAAAAAAATTGACTATTCAAATGGAAAATAATCCACATATGAAAAAAATATTATGGAAGAACAATTAAAGAAAAAAAGAATTTCAAGAAATATTAAAACGATTATAATTGATAAACGGTAGTACTCTTCAATAGAAAATACATATAAATAGACATTATTTTTATTTCAAATCAAATAAAAAAAAAGTTTTTATAGTGAAAAAAATTAAAACAGACACTGTCAGATTATAAAGTTCAAACAAAACAAGATATTTTGCAAAAAAAAATTAATTGCATAGAGTATATTTTTAATGCGAGGAACTAAATGGTGTTTCATAAGTTGTGACCTCATTTTTTTTTGTATCTAGAGCATATTTGAAGAGTAGCACATAAGTTATTATCCAAGAGAAATTGGATGAGATTCGCATCAACTCAAAGAAAATACTAAATTGGTCAAAATATCAAAAAATTTTTTCATGAATAGTAGACCGAATTGGTACTCATCTATGATGAAAATTTTAAAGTTTTTGCTCTTGTTTTCACAGAAATACGGCTCACCAAAGTCGAAAAAATGTAATTCCATAATGTTCGGCTATGTTGAAAAAACTACTTTGAGTTGGTGTCAATGGAAGCCAATTTCTCTTGGATGATAGTTTATGAGCTACTCTGCAAATACGGCCAAGATACAAAAAAAAAATAAGAATGAGGTCGAAACTTAGGAAACACCATTTATACAGAATATGATTTGAGATATTGATTGTTTACTTAAACTAAGAGAGAAATATATTCTAGTAAAAGAAACATGAACCTTTCTTTATCAAACTGCAGTTACACTATTCGAAAGGTAGTGAAGCCATTTTTCTGTTGTTTTTCTTTTTCTCGAAAACTTACTGTGTTTCATGCTTCGAAGCTTTCGTAATTTCAGTACACTTCGATAAAGTAAGACCGTGAAAAGCTCACAAACATTTCAATTAGCTCAAAAATTTTCCCACTTCCTAATGACCTTATTTATAGAATGTGGGTGTGGGTGTTGGAGTCTTCTCTTGACTGACACCTCTCCCCACACTCATACCCTACACCCACACATCCACACCCTTAACATCGATTCACTCAATGGAAATATTTGGTTTTGTCGATTTCTTTTTTCTTTCTCACTACCTTTCAAATTAGAAATGGAAATTGAAGTACATAAAAACACCTACACATCATGTATACGCTTTGAAATAGTCAAAATCTAAAAATTTCGTATACTGCATTGGTGCATGTCACTTATTCAAGTCATGAAACATCTGTTTATTTAGAAGACGAGAAGGAGAGCTCTAGATTCTTCACGTCCGAATATCTGTAATCAAATTTCTAAAAATACCAAATAATGTTCTCGATTACGCTTGAAAGTTACTTTCTTTGGCAGAGTAGTATTGCTTTTCGATTAGTTGAACAGACAGACACAAGTATTTTTATGTGAATATGACCCTTTCTTTCAAAAAAAGAAAAAGGAGTAATTCACTTTCGTTTTTATTATTTTTCGAAAACTTTGAAGAATTGACATTTCGTTCATAGTTTGATCATCTAAATCTCTGTTTTTTTTTCAAAATCCAAATGAGTCAAACTAACAGAATTGAACGAAAAACAAGAATTGATGTCTAATATGAATTATAACATTCGGATAGAACAAATGAAACACAATACTTTCTATGTCTTGATTCTCAATGTTTTATCTATCTCGTTAATTGATCTTCTTATTCTTGTTCTTGATGATGAGCCAAAACTAGTAAAGATATTCGAGAAATCTTATCGACGACAATTTGTTTATGTATTAACTGTTTCTTTCTGTTCTTGTCTGTAGAATATCTCCTGTAGAATAGATTATTTTCACTGTTTATTCGATTTTGTGAATGTCTTAGTTCATTTTTCTATATTATCGAATAATAAAATAACTTGATTATTTATGAGAAAAAAAAAACAAACTTTGATCAATTGAAAAAGTTTTATTTTATTTATTAAATAAATTTTACAAGAAAAAAATCTATATGTTTAAGTCATTTCCATTGTAAATAGACACTATCCAGTATACGTTTAACTGTAAAATGAGGAAGTAGTTTGTTATATTTGATTATTTCTTCCATATTTTCAACTATTCGATCATCTGCTATTGGAGCATGAAAACATAATAAACGAAGATGATGATTATTATTACGATTAATTTCCTTGAAAATAGTACGTAAAAACCATTGAACATCCGTTATATTTGTACATCCAACTTTGAAATATTTCATATATGGACAAAGTGTGAAAAGAAAATCAAGTTCTTCATGAATATCACAAATTTCCTCAAGATAGACTTTGGTAATTTGACTTGTCCGTTTCATTGAACATAAAATCCGAAGTTCTTTAACAGTTAATTCTGTTGTTTCATCTGTTGATAATGAATGAATTTTTAATGTAGTTATGTTTGGTAATAGATTGATAACTTGAATTAATATAGGAATTGAGAGCTCTTTTTCGAGAATTTCCAAATAATAAATTTGTGTTATTGTTAATATACGTTCAATTTTTTTGGACCCTTCTTCGTCGAATATAGAATCAGAAATATGTTCGAATGTCAAATTAATAAATGCAGAACAATCAATAATATTGTCTTTTGTTTCATAATACCATCTGTTACTAAAAAGAAACCAAATTATTCATTTTTTCTATGGAAATTATTTTTCTATTTACCTATATGGATGAATTGTATATTCGATAGATATATTTTTAACTTCGACTTCAAATAGCCATTGTCGTTTAATCCAAAATGATGAGGAAAATTGGTTTCGCCTTTCAGTATATATTGGATAGTTTTGTTCATCATCAATATAATCATTATATATGAGATAGAATTTTTCTAACCGAGGAAAATAATTTAAAATTAATTGTTCCCATCGATAAGCATAAAGAAAAGTGATATCTCTTGATCCAAAAATACATAAACTTTTTAAATTTGAAAATATTTTTGTTGTCATGAATATTTCCAATTCATTATATTTTGTTCGATATAAATCCAAATAAATCGATTTTAGATTATCTAATATAATTGATGGTAATATTGTAATATTTGAATCATTGTTAGATTTTGTTTTATGAAGAGTTAAACGACGAAGTTGTGGTGTATAAGAAAGTAAACATGTAAGTTCATTTAAAGAACAATAATGATTAATAACAAGATATTCAATAGGACTAAATTGATTATTCATAGCTATTGGAAGTGTAATTGAGTGATGACTATCAGAAGAGAAAATGCGATAATATTTTAATTTAGGTAAGACAAATATCAATCGATAAATATCATTGATTTTTTCTTTAATATCGGATGTTTCGATTGTTAATGAGAAAAGATGTGGTAACGAAGATAAATTGCTTAGTAGTGGAATAAGTGCATCAGGTGGAATGTCTTTAAAAACAATAGATTCAAGCCGATCAAACGATGAATCGAATGAAAATGACGACGAAAAAAAATAACCATCGTATAAAATAAAAGTTACTTGTAGAGAAAATATTTGATGTCGATTGGCAAACATAAATTGTTTAAACCTGTTCATTATTTCATCATTGTTAAATATGCAAAAACTAGTCTTTAATAATATCGATGAAGAATGAAGAAGTTGTTCAAATCGAAAATTAAGATTTGAAAATGCTTCATATAACCGACATCCAGCAAGATAATCAAATATTTCACATAGTAATTCATTTGATAGATCTTCAAAACAAGTCACGATTTGATCGAATTCATCTATTACAAAAAAAAAACAAATGAATAACTTTATATATTCATCAGACGGATAACTTACAACGAAATTTCTTTGGTCTTTCTTCTGATAAATCATCAGAACTTAGTTTTCGTTTGACTTCAGTCATACTTATTACTCAATCTAAATTGAATGAAATTGTTTATGAAATGAATTCTTCACTTCGAATATGCTTTTATATACTGTTCAGATAAAAGAAGAATAAGTCGTCAAGGTCAACGCTCGATGGAAAAAGCCATAGACAGAAAAGGAAAGCAAAGTATAACGGTTGTATAGTCTGATATACAATCAAATGACATTGCAAATTTGAAAGAAGTTAATTGATCAATCTGTATCGTTTGATTTTCTGAAAATTTCGTTTTTATTTGTTTATCATTTTTCTAAAAAAGACATGCAAAGTTCATAATATCATCTATTCATTGTAGATTGATATTATTGCAAACACATTTAATTGTATAATCCACAAGTAGTTTGTCATAGACGATCAGTTTTTCTAATTTTTCCACCATTTGGTCATCTGTTGTTGGAATACGAAGACATTGATCGAAATTATCGATCATTTCAATTAAAATCTCTTTTAGAAATACTTTCAATATCAATATTATTAATATTATTGATTTGTTAAATAATTCATTCGAGGACAAACTTTGATATGAATATTCATTTCTTTAACAATATGAATCATTTTTTCAAGATAAACTTTGGTAATTTAAAAAAAAAAAGAAGTTTTAATGTAACAAGTTCATGTAATGCTTGTATAAAATAAATTAATAGACCAACAACTGATATATTTACATTACCATTAAAAAAAAATTCTGCAGAGATACTGCTAGAGTCACAAATTATTTAAAGCTCAAGTTTATATCAAATAGAAGTTAGTTTATTAGATAGATCGGTGATACTATTACTTTTTTTAGTACATATTACGAATCGATCCGATATATCTTCATACTCATCTAAGACATTTTTATCGAATTTAATTGATCTTCGAAGGATAACTTTTCATTATATTTAATAATAATATGATGCATATCAACTAAATATTGAGAGTGAGGTGAAGGTGAGTATAATATATATTTATGAGAAAGACAAAAATAATCTTTTATTTTATCTATCTATGGTTAAATTTCAATCTAGCCCAAAGAAAAAAGAAACAAAAGCCAACGTTTCTCTAGCCCTTCTAAATGCTTCTGGATAATATCGTGTTTTTCAAATCTTTAATTAATTTTTCAACAAAGCTTTTTTGTCT